GCGAACATTTAAAAATAAAACGTGGATGTGGCAGGTCAATAAACAAGGACAACAATAATGAGGGGTTTACATTAATATTGTAAAAATTTATTTATTTACAATGAAATAAAATGTAATCATATAAATTGAATGAAGGATGATGTTAATGTTCCGATTGAATCAAACAGAATCAAAAGACAGTAACTAAAAAAAAAAATGAACAAAGGTCCTATATAGAACAAGGCTAACACAAAATTCACATAAGAAATAATATCGTGAAATAGGGTTCCTGTAAGAATTTTACAATAAAATTTATACACATATATGAATGTAACAAAGATCCTTAGAATCAATCGAGATGTGAAATGTATCATGTACGAGATAGTACATGAAAAGTAAACTTCATGTTCTGAACCGCATGTGGCAAAAATTGTTCGTGTGTTAAATTGACAGTAATAAAAGCAGTAAAAATTCAGAATTGAACGTTGACAAAAGAGTACATGTATCAAATTGGTAGTAGATAAAGTTCATGTAAGGGTGAATACAAAATAGATGGTATAACACCCTAAATTTGTATTGCTTACAAAGAAAGAAAAACCAAAGATTGATGTAAAAATGAAGGATACTGACCAATTTTGATGAGTTAGGTGATATGCACCTAATTCAACGAGAAAAGTCAATATTTGAATTAAAGTCAGTAGAGTCCTCTGTCAAAACAGGGGTTGACTGGAAATAAAACAATGATCGAAAGGGAAAACTGTTGGGTAGTTAGTCTGATGTCGCGTGGTTGCTGGTCGTTAAAACATCAGATATTACCTAAGCCCCCCTTTGAAATAAAACCATCAGAACCACCGCAAGGTAATTTTACGTAGTCCTGTGAAGTTTTGTTGAAATCGGTTGAAAAATGTAGGAAAGCCGATCCCATATATAAACGAACACAGACACACACACAATCTGCGTTTTATAATAAGTAAGATTCAAAAGAAGTATTTAGATCAATAATCAAACATCTAAGAAAAAATGTAGTTGATCATTAAATCTAAATAAACTCGTTACGTCGCATAGAAAAAAGTGACGTTACGGAGGAAGAGCAAGGTCACAAAATATATTCCGTCCGCCATGATAACATAAAGGGAGTCGCGAGGAGCTACGATAATGTCTACTTCTACCTTTAATGGTCCATCTCCATTAATTTTAAATTAATTCTTGCCCTCTTTAAGTAATTCTTGACAGCATTTTTCATGTGACTCAATTAATTTCTCCTTCACGTAATCAAGATTAGAAACTACCCTACACGCAAGACGCTAGGGACCCGCTGGCGGACCGCCGATGGCAACGCCAGTGGTCCTCTGGTGGCAGCCAACGGCAGGCTACCGGCAGGCTACCGTCATGCCAACAGTGGGCTACTAGCGGTCTGCAAGTGGTAACATTGCCGAAACGAACACACCGGCAGTCCGACAGCGGGCCACCAGCGGTAAACCCTAGTGGCATGTCACCCAGTGGCAGATTGGTGGCTTGCGTGTAAGGTACTTCTCTAAAATTCATTTTTTGAACCTAATGATGTTTTACACTCGAGTGATAAATGATTCCTCCAAAAATGAATAAATGTGTTGGGTGGTACCATATGGGCGACCACAACAGTACTTTTGTAGGTACAGCTAATTACCGAAACATAAAAACAAAAATAAAGAATGGCTATGGAGAAATTAGAAGAACGTTAATGAAAGGTTTTGTTTTATACAAGGTAATACGAACAAAGCTTAGAAATAGGTTGCGTCCCTGAAAAAGCAATAATTTTTATTACTTTACTACTTACAATTCCAGCATGTCATTTTGTAAAAACCTATGCTTTTCACGTGTCAGAGGAGCATCTACCAAAAAACTTCACTATATACACTCATGCGTCTTTCAGTGACCGTTAAAGGCTAAGTGCCATAAAAAAAAAAAAAAAAAAAAACGAAAGAAGGAAAGCTAACCCAACAAGTACACAAATTCAAATGTAAGTATATGTTGCACAATGTTATGGGCACCACATTTTGTTTCAGACATTTTTTTCATTTTCACCTAAATGCTCTAACAATTCTAGCAGTTAATTCATTTTTTTTTTTTCAACTTTTCTGCCTCTTCTCTTGCACGTAACCATTTTTCTGATTCACGCTTTTCCATTCAGAGGACGTCGTTTGAACCAAAGTGCAACCATAGTATGTGTGGCACCAAACCAAAATAGATACATTTTTCCGCACTGAAAGCAAAAAATCCACACCTACCGTTTAAAAATATTTGCCAAAAAAATAGGGAAATATCCGATTCGGATGAAATTTTCAAGACTTATTCATTAATGAATAGATATTTTACTTTTTTTAGCTTATTTTATTAAAAGACATTGGGGAAATATTTTTGGAGGGATGTTTCACACCCACTTTTTTATATCATGTGTATACTTTTTAATTTTGGGGGTGTTCGTCCAAATTTTTACAGTTATATAAATGTAAGTCCCTAAAGATATTATTTCAGTATAAAAAAAAAACAAAAAAAAAACTATTCAATGTCAATCAAGTGTGAACATGCGGAAAATATCTCCCGTATCTTACACAAACAATTCAATAAAACTAAAAATTATTTATTTTTGAGAATTTATGCTTGCATAATTTAATAAAATACGTTATTTTCAGACTCAACAGGAAAAAATCTAAACTTAATATTTATTTTAAAAAAAATACTTGTAATTTTTTTTTTTAGTGCGATTTTTAAATTAATCTTGTTGCTGTTCATCACAATAAAGTATTTTATTGATTTGGAAATTTAAAAAATGTAAAGTTTAATGTGTAAAACATATAAAAGTATTTTATTTTATTTTTTCCCTTCAGAAACTGTTAGATTATTTTAGATATGAATGTACAAAAAGGAAATAATTCTGATATCACGCGTTGACTGACTACTATTCAATATTGGAGAAGTATCATGAATCTAATTTTATATCACCCGATCAGTCAGTAAAAAAGTAAAATTATTCATTATATTAAGTTTAATAAAAGCGTATATAATATTTAAAAAATGTTATTCTTAAATTATTGGTTATATAAGTTAAAGAAAATTTAGTTTTAAACATAAAGAATAAATTCATGATTATTGCACTGCTGGTCTTCTGTACTTCTTTAGCTTTTATTTTTACTTTTTCCTGCGCACTTTTGGACAGGGATAGAATTAGTGTTTTTCTATCCTATCCTTTGATCTCACAGGTTAGTGTGTGCAAATAAAACGTTATTTTCATTTTGTCTTAACTAAAAGGTAAACATTACTTTTAGAAAATCCACTTAATTAATCCTTAAATTTACTAATAGACTTTAAAACAATTCCCTAAGATAAATATTGGATTTTAAAGGAACATTTAAATTTGCTGCTTACATTTTTCACATATAATGGCGGCTCGGTGAGTCGATGAGTAACGAAAAAAGTATTTATGCTTTGAAAAATGCTTAAAAATGTTTATTTATATATGGGAATTAATTTTTCTTTTAATTCAGATTAACTTTTGACTATTATCTTTCAAATAGAACCGAAATTTAATTTCAAAGAAGACATTTAAAATATTAAAAACGTGTTTTTCGGGTTTCGTTTTTTAGATTAGTCCGTGGCAGTATATAGTTTTTTTTTTTTTATTTTTGGATGTCTCGAAAGTGTTAAGCTTTTAAAATGTGTCAATATGAGACCAGATAAAAAATAATACCCCACCTTGGGGGAAAAATTACGAACGAGGCAAATAGCCGTTATTTCATTTTCCATTGACCACCTTTTTTTCGGTGAGCGTCAGACATACTGAAATTTTCACCACATCCTAATTTCAAAATCCTACCTCGCAAATATGGTCTTGTCATTAAACTCATAGAAATTTCGTCCAGCGTACGAAAGCGGAAGTTTTAAATGTTAACAAAGACCGTGAAGAGGACAGGAAGAGAAAGGGAGCAAACGGGAACTAAGCTGGATTAGGATTATTGCAAAACGGTAAGCAAACCTAACCCAGAAATTTCATTACGACCTCGCTTCATCCCACATACCAGGCCCCAGGTATTGTAAGCATCCTTCTATGTGTAGTGTCCCTTCAGAACATGGGTGATCATGGTTCTCCACAACTTCCTATTTCTTGTGGCCCAAAGAAGAGTTTCTCCCTTTGTCAAGTCCAACGACACACCCCGTTCCACCACCCATTCACACTAGCTCGTCAGATAGGTGGCCTTTCTCTTACCATCGATATGCTCTGTGAGGGTTAAGATTTCAAAGACCACCATCTTCATTATACATTCAAGAAATTTTAGCTCTCTCTTTCTATTTCTGCGTATTAGTATTCTTTTTATTACTATTTTCTTTAAGACTTCCTCGTTGCATATATTTTTTTTATTACTATTTTCTTTAAGACTTCCTTGCATATTCTTTTTGCATATTCTTTAAGACTTCCTTTTTTATTACTATTTTTTTTTTAAGACTTCCTCGTTGCATATTATTTTTTATTACTATTTTCTTTTAAGACTTCCTCGTTGCATATTCTTTTTTATTACTATTTTCTTTTAAGACTTCCTCGTTGCATATTCTTTTTATTACTATTTTTGCATATTCTTTTTATTACTATTTTCTTTAAGACTTTTGCATATTCTTTTTATTACTATTTTCTTTAAGACTTCCTCGTTGCATATTCTTTTTTATTACTATTTTCTTTAAGACTTCCTCGTTGCATATTCATATTTTTATTACTATTTTCTTTTAAGACTTCCTCGTTGCATATTCTTTTTATTACTATTTTCTTTAAGACTTCCTCGTTGCATATTCTTTTTATTACTATTTTCTTTTAAGACTTCCTCGCTGCATATTCTTTTTTATTACTATTTTCTTTAAGACTTCCTCGTTGCATATTCTTTTTTTATTACTATTTTCTTTTAAGACTTCCTCGTTGCATATTCTTTTTATTACTATTTTCTTTAAGACTTCCTCGCTGCATGCATATTCTTTTTATTACTATTTTCTTTAAGACTTCCTCTTTTGCATATTATTCTTTTTATTACTATTTTCTTTAAGACTTCCTCGTTGCATATTCTTTTTTATTACTATTTTCTTTAAGACTTCCTCGTTGCATATTCTTTTATTACTATTTTCTTTAAGACTTCCTCGCTGCATATTCTTTTTTTTATTACTATTTTCTTTAAGACTTCCTCGTTGCATATTCTTTTTATTACTATTTTCTTTAAGACTTCCTCCTGCATATTCTTTTTATTACTATTTTCTTTAAGACTTCCTCGCTGCATATTCTTTTTTATTACTATTTTCTTTTAAGACTTCCTCGCTGCATATTCTTTTTATTACTATTTTCTTTAAGACTTCCTCGCTGCATATTCTTTTTTATTATTTTCTTTAAGACTTCCTCGCTGCATATTCTTTTATTACTATTTTCTTTTAAGACTTCCTTTGCATATTCTTTTTTATTACTATTTTCTTTAAGACTTCCTCGTTGCATATTCTTTTTTACTATTTTCTTTAAGACTTCCTCTTTGCATATTCTTTTTTATTACTATTTTCTTTAAGACTTCCTCGCTGCATATTCTTTTTATTACTATTTTCTTTAAGACTTCCTCGCTGCATATTCTTTTTTTTATTAAGACTTCCTCGCTGCATATTTTTTTTATTTATTTTATTTTCCTCACTGCATATTCTTTTTTTTACTAGACTTCCTCGCTGCATATTCTTTTTATTACTATTTTCTTTAAGACTTCCTCGCTGCATATTCTTTTTTATTACTATTTTCTTTAAGACTTCCTCGTTGCATATTCTTTTTATTACTATTTTCTTTTAAGACTTCCTCGCTGCATATTCTTTTTTTATTATATTTTCTTTTAAGACTTTTGCATATTCGTTTTTTTATTACTATTTTCTTTAAGACTTCCTCGCTGCATATTCTTTTTATTACTATTTTCTTTAAGACTTCCTCGCTGCATATTCTTTTATTACTATTTTCTTTAAGACTTCCTCGTTGCATATTCTTTTTATTACTATTTTCTTTAAGACTTCCTCGTTGCATATTCTTTTTATTACTATTTTCTTTTAAGACTTCCTCGTTGCATATTCTTTTTATTACTATTTTCTTTAAGACTTTCCTCGTTGCATATTCTTTTTATTACTATTTTCTTTAAGACTTCCTCGTTGCATATTCTTTTTTATTACTATTTTCTTTAAGACTTCCTCGCTGCATATATTTTTTTATTACTATTTTCTTTAAGAAGACTTCATATTGCATTTTATTCGTTGCATATTTTTATTACTATTTTCTTTAAGACTTCCTCGCTGCATATTCTTTTTATTACTATTTTCTTTAAGACTTCCTCGTATTCTTTTGCATATTTTTTTTATTACTATTTTCTTTAAGACTTCCTCGTTGCATATTCTTTTTATTACTATTTTCTTTTTAAAGACTTTTTAAGACTTCCTCTTTAAAGACTTCCTGCATATTATTTTTTTATTACTATTTTTTTTAAGACTTCCTCCTTTGCATATTCTTTTTTATTACTATTTTCTTTAAGACTTCCATATTCTTTTTTACATATTTTTTTTATTACTATTTATATTTTTAAGACTTCCTCGCTGCATATTCTTTTTATTACTATTTTCTTTAAGACTTCCTCGCTGCATATTCTTTTTATTACTATTTTCTTTAAGACTTCCTCGCTGCATATTCTATTTTTTTATTACTATTTTTCTTTAAGACTTCCTCGTTGCATATTCTATTTTTTTATTATTCTATTTTCTTTAAGACTTCCTCGTTGCATATTCTTTTTTATTACTATTTCTTTTAAGACTTCCTCGCTGCATATTCTTTTAAGACTTTTTTATTACTATTTTCTTTAAGACTTCCTCGCTGCATATTCTTTTTATTACTATTTTCTTTAAGACTTCCTCGCTGCATATTCTTTTTATTACTATTTTCTTTTTCTTTTAAGACTTTTCGCTGCATTTTATAAGACTTCTTTTTTTTTATTACTTTATTTTCTTTAAGACTTCTCGCTTGCATATTATTTTTTTTATTACTATTTTCTTTAAGACTTCCTCGCTGCATATTCTTTTTTATTACTTTTTATCGCTGCATATTCTTTTTTTTTTATTATTTTCTTTTAAGACTTCCTTTTTATATTATTTTTTATTACTATTTTCTTTTAAGACTTCCTCGTTGCATATTCTTTTTTTTATTACTATTTTCTTTAAGACTTCCTCGTTGCATATTCTTTTTTATTACTATTTTTTTTTAAGACTTCCTCGCTCCTCATATTCTTTTTATTACTATTTTCTTTAAGACTTCCTCGCTGCATATTCTTTTTTACTATATTTTATTTTAAGACTTCCTCTTTGCATATTCTTTTTTATTACTATTTTCTTTAAGACTTCCTCGTTGCATATTCTATTTTTTTTATTACTATTTTCTTTAAGACTTTCCTTGCATATTCTTTTTATTACTATTTTCTTTAAGACTTCCTCGCTGCATATTCTTTTTTTATTACTATTTTCTTTAAGACTTCCTCGCTGCATATTCTTTTTTATTACTATTTTCTTTAACTATTTTCTTTCTTCCGCTGCATATTCTTTTTTTATTACTATTTTCTTTAAGACTTCCTCGCTGCATATTCTTTTTATTACTATTTTCTTTAAGACTTCCTCGCTGCATATTCTTTTTATTACTATTTTCTTTTAAGACTTCCTCGCTGCATATTCTTTTTTTATTACTATTTTCTTTAAGACTTCCTCGTTGCATATTCTTTTTATTACTATTTTCTTTAAGACTTCCTCGTTGCATATTCTTTTTATTACTATTTTTTTTTTAAGACTTCCTCGCTGCATATTCTTTTTATTACTATTTTCTTTAAGACTTCCTCGCTGCATATTCTTTTTATTACTATTTCTTTAAGATTGCATATTCTTTTTTATTACTATTTTCTTTAAGACTTCCTCTTTGCATATTCTTTTTATTACTATTTTCTTTAAGACTTCCTCGTTGCATATTCTTTTTTATTACTATTTTCTTTAAGACTTCCTCGTTGCATATTCTTTTTATTACTATTTTCTTTATTACTATTTCCTCCTCGTTGCATATATTCTTTTTTTACTATTTTCTTTAAGACTTCCTCGTTGCATATTCTTTATTATTTTTTTTAAGACTTCCTCGTTGCATATTCTTTTTATTACTATTTTCTTTAAGACTTCCTCTTTGCATATTCTTTTTATTACTATTTTCTTTAAGACTTCCTCGCTGCATATTCTTTTTATTACTATTTTCTTTAAGACTTCCTCGCTGCATATTCTTTTTATTACTATTTTCTTTAAGACTTCCTCGTTGCATATTCTTTTTATTACTATTTTCTTTAAGACTTCCTCGTTGCATATTCTTTTTATTACTATTTTCTTTAAGACTTCCTCGTTGCATATTCTTTTTATTACTATTTTTTTTTAAGACTTCCTCGCTGCATATTCTTTTTTTATTACTATTTTCTTTAAGACTTCCTCGCTGCATATTCTTTTTTTATTACTATTTTCTTTAAGACTTCCTCGTTGCATATTCTTTTTTTATTTTCTTTTACTTCCTCGCTGTATATTCTTTTTTATTACTATTTTTTTTAAGACTTCCTCGCTGCATATTCTTTTTATTACTATTTTCTTTAAGACTTCCCTCGCTGCATATTCTTTTTATTACTATTTTCTTTTTAAGACTTCCTCGCTGCATATTCTTTTTTTATTACTATTTTCTTTTAAGACTTTCGCTGCATATTCTTTTTATTACTATTTTCTTTTTCCTCGCTGCATATTCTTTTTTATTACTATTTTCTTTAAGACTTCCTCGTTGCATATTCTTTTTATTACTATTTTCTTTAAGACTTTTGCATATTTTTTTATTACTATTTTCTTTTAAGACTTCCTCGTTGCATATTCTTTTTATTACTATTTTCTTTAAGACTTCCTCGTTGCATATTCTTTTTATTACTATTTTCTTTAAGACTTCCTCGTTGCATATTCTTTTTTTATTACTATTTTCTTTAAGACTTCCTCACTGCATATTCTTTTTATTATTATTTTCTTTATTGCATATTTTTTTATTACTATTTTCTTTAAGACTTCCTCACTGCATATTCTTTTTATTACTATTTCTTTTTAAGACTTCCTCTCATTCTTTTTATTACTATTTTCTTTAAGACTTCCTCGTTGCATATTCTTTTTTATTACTATTTTCTTTAAGACTTTCACTGCTTTTATACTATTTTTCTTTTACTATTTTCTTTTAAGACTTCCTGTTGCATATTTTTTATTACTATTTTCTTTAAGACTTCCTCCTGCATATTCTTTTTATTACTATTTTCTTTTTTCGTTACATATTCTTTTTATTATTATTTTCTTTAAGTTGCATATTCTTTTTTATTACTATTTTTTTAAGACTTCCTCGTTGCATATTCTTTTTATTACTATTTTCTTTAAGACTTCCTTGTATATTCTTTTATTACTATTTTCTTTAAGACTTCTCGTTGCATATTTTTTTTATTACTATTTTCTTTTAAGACTTCCTCGTTGCATATTCTTTTTATTACTATTTTCTTTAAGACTTCCTCACTGCATATTCTTTTTATTACTATTTTCTTTAAGACTTCCTGCATATTATTTTTTTTTATTACTATTTTCTTTACTTTCTTCCTCGTTGCATATTCTTTTTATTACTATTTTCTTTACAGACTTTTAAGACTTCCTCGCTGCATATTATTTTTATTACTATTTTCTTTTAGACTTTTTTGCATATTCTTTTTTATTACTATTTTCTTTAAGACTTCCTCACGTTGCATATTCTTTTTTATTACTATTTTCTTTAAGACTTCCTCGTTGCATATTCTTTTTTTTTATTACTATATTTCTTTAAGATTATTCTTTTTTGCATATTCTTTTTTATTACTATTTTTTTAAGACTTCCTCGTTGCATATTTTTTATTACTATTCTTTTTTTTCTTTAAGACTTTCGTTGCATATTCTTTTTTTATTACTATTTTCTTTAAGACTTCCTCGTTGCATATCTTTTTATTACTATTTTCTTTAAGACTTCCTCGCTGCATATTCTTTTTTTTTTATTTTTCTTTTAAGACTTTCCTCGTTGCATATTCTTTTTTATTACTATTTTCTTTAAGACTTGCTGCATATTGCAAAATATTTTTTTATTACTATTTTCTTTTAAGACTTCCTCGTTGCATATTCTTTTTATTTACTATTTTCTTTAAGACTTCCTCGCTGCATATATTACTATTTTTTTTATTACTATTTTCTTTAAGACTTCTTTTATTACTTATTTTCTTTAAGACTTCGTTGCATATTCTTTTTATTACTATTTTCTTTAAGACTTCCTCGTATATTCTTTAAGACTATTTTCATGCATATTCTTTTTATTACTATTTTCTTTTAAGACTTCCTCGTTGCATATTCTTTTTTTTATTACTATTTTCTTTTAAGACTTCCCTCGTTGCATATTCTATTTTTTTATTACTATTTTCTATTTTTTTAAGACTTCCCTCACTGCATATTCTTTTTTTTATTACTATTTTCTTTAAGACTTCCTCGTTGCATATTCTTTTATTACTATTTTCTTTAAGACTTCCTCGTTGCATATTCTTTTTATTACTATTTTTTTTTATTACTATTTTCTTTAAGCATTATTTTTATTACTATTTTTTTCCTCTATTTTATTATTTTCTTTTTATTACTATTTTCTTTAAGACTTCCTCACTGCATATTCTTTTTTATTACTATTTTTTAAGACTTCCTCGTTGCATATTCTTTTTTATTACTATTTTCTTTAAGACTTCCTCGTTGCATATTCTTTTTATTACTATTTTCTTTAAGACTTCCTCGTTGCATATTCTATTTTTTTATTACTATTTTTATTATTTTTTAAGACTTCCTCGTTGCATATTCTTTTTTATTACTATTTTCTTTAAGACTTCCTCGTTGCATATTCTTTTTATTTATTTTCTTTCATATTCTTTTTTATTACTATTTTCTTTAAGACTTCCTCGCTGCATATTCTTTTTATTACTATTTTCTTTTTAAGACTTCCTCGTTGCATATTCTTTATTACTATTTTTTTATTCCTCGTTGCATATTCTTTTTTACTATTTTCTTTAAGACTTCCTCGCTGCATATTCTTTTTTATTACTATTTTCTTTTAAGACTTCCTCGCTGCATATTATTTTTTATTACTATTTTCTTTAAGACTTCCTCGTTGCATATTCTTTTTATTACTATTTTCTTTTAAGACTTCCTCGTTGCATATTCATATTTTTTTATTACTTTTATTTTCTTTTTAAGACTTCCTCGCTGCATATTCTTTTTATTACTATTTTTTTAAGACTTCTTTTTATTACTATTTTCTTCGCTCGCTGCATATTCTTTTTATTACTATTTTCTTTAAGACTTCCTCGTTATATTCTTTTTATTACTATTTTCTTTAAGACTTCCTCGCTGCATATTCTTTTTATTACTATTTTCTTTAAGACTTCCTCGCTGCATATTCTTTTTATTACTATTTTCTTTAAGACTTCCTCGCTGCATATTCTTTTTATTACTATTTTCTTTAAGACTTCCTCGCTGCATATTCTTTTTATTACTATTTTTTTTACTTCCTTACTATTTTCTTTTTATTAGACTTCCCTCGCTTTTTGACTTATTATTCTTTTTATTACTATTTTTTTAAGACTTCCTTGCATATTCTATTTTTTTTATTACTATTTCTTTTAAGACTTCCTCGCTGCATATTCTATTTTTTTATTACTATTTTATTTTTTTTAAGACTTCCTCGTTGCATATTCTTTTTATTACTATTTTCTTTAAGACTTCCTCGCTGCATATTCTTTTTTATTACTATTTTCTTTAAGACTTCCTCGTTGCATATTCTTTTTATTACTATTTTTTTTTTAAGACTTCCTCGTTGCATATTCTTTTATTACTATTTTCTTTAAGACTTCCTCGCTGCATATTCTTTTTATTACTATTTTCTTTAAGACTTCCTCGTTGCATATTCTTTTTTTATTACTATTTTTTTTTTCTATTTTTTAAGACTTTCGCTGCATATTCTTTTTATTACTATTTTCTTTAAGACTTCCTCGTTGCATATTCTTTTTTATTACTATTTTCTTTAAGACTTCCTCGTTGCATATTCTTTTTTATTACTATTTTCTTTAAGACTGCATTATTCTTTTTTTTTATATTCTTTTTATTATTTTCTTTTAAGACTTCCTCGTTGCATATTCTTTTTATTACTATTTTCTTTAAGACTTCCTCGCTGCATATTCACTTCCTCGTTGCATATTCTTTCTCGTTGCATATTTTTTTATTACTATTTTCTTTAAGACTTCCTCGCTGCATATTCTTTTTTATTACTATTTTCTTTAAGACTTCCTCGCTGCATATTCTATTTTTTTATTACTATTTTTTTTAAGACTTCCTCGCTGCATATTAAGGTTTTTTTATTACTATTTTCTTTAAGACTTCCTCGCTGCATATTCTTTTTATTACTATTTTCTTTAAGACTTCCTCGTTGCATATTCTTTTTATTACTATTTTCTTTAAGACTTCCTCGTTGCATATTCTTTTTATTACTATTTTCTTTAAGACTTCCTCGCTGCATATTCTTTTTATTACTATTTTCTTTAAGACTTCCTCGCTGCATATTCTTTTTATTACTATTTTCTTTAAGACTTCCTCGTTGCATATTCTTTTTATTACTATTTTCTTTAAGACTTCCTCGTTGCATATTCTTTTTATTACTATTTTCTTTAAGACTTCCTCGTTGCATATTCTTTTTTTATATTCTTTAAGACTTCCTCGTTGCATTTCTTTTTTACACTATTTTTCTATTTTTAAGACTTCCCTCGCTGCATATTCTTTTATTACTATTTTCTTTAAGACTTCCCTCGCATATGCATATTTCTTTTATTACTATTTTCTTTAAGACTTCCTCGCTGCATATTCTTTTATTACTATTTTCTTTTAAGACTTCCTTGTATATTCTTTTTTGCATATTCTTTTTTTTATTACTATTTTCTTTAAGACTTCCTCGCTGCATATTCTTTAAGACTTTTATTACTATTTTCTTTAAGACTTCCTCGTTGCATATTCTTTTTTTATTACTATTTTTTTTAAGACTTCCTCGTTGCATATTCTTTTTTTATTACTATTTTCTTTTAAGACTTCCTCGCTGCATATTATTTTTTATTACTATTTTCTTTATTCGCTGCATATTCTTTTTATTACTATTTTCTTTAAGACTTCCTCGTATATTCTTTTTATTATATTCTTTTTTTATTACTATTTTCTTTAAGACTTCCTCGCATATGCATATTCTTTTTTATTACTATTCTTTTTTTTCTATTTTCTTTAAGACTTCCTCGTTTCTTTTTTATATACTTTGCATTTCTTTTTTTCTATTTTCTTTAAGACTTCCTCGTTGCATATTCTTTTTTATTACTATTTTCTTTAAGACTTCCATATTCTTTTTATTACTATTTTTCTTTAAGACTTCCTCACATATTCTTTTTATTACTATTTTCTTTAAGACTTCCTCGTTGCATATTCTTTTTTTTTATTTTTTTCTTTAAGACTTCCTCGCTATTCTTTTTTATTACTATTTTCTTTAAGACTTCCTCGCTGCATATTCTTTTTATTACTATTTTCTTTAAGACTTCCTCGCTGCATATTCTATTTTTTTATTACTATTTTCTTTAAGACTTCCTCGCTGCATATTCTTTTTTATTACTATTTTCTTTAAGACTTGCATATTCTTTTTATTACTATTTTCTTTAAGACTTCTCGCTGCATATTCTTTTTATTACTATTTTCTTTAAGACTTCCTCGCTGCATATTCTTTTTTATTACTATTTTCTTTAAGACTTCCTGCATATTCTTTTATTACTATTTTCTTTAAGACTCGTTGCATATTCTTTTTATTACTATTTTCTTTAAGACTTCCCTTTGCATATTCTTTTTTATTACTATTTTATTGCATATTCTTTTTATTACTATTTTCTTTAAGACTTCCCTCGCTGCATATTCTTTTACTATTTTCTTTATGCATATATTTTCTTTAAGACTTCCTCGTTGCATATTCTTTTATTACTATTTTCTTTAAGACTTCCTCGTTGCATATTCTTTTTTATTACTATTTTCTTTACTTCCTCGCTGCATATTCTTTTTTTACTATTTTTCTTTAAGACTTCCTCGCTGCATATTCTTTTTTTATTACTATTTTCTTTAAGACTTTGCTTTTCTCTTTTTATTACTATTTTCTTTCATATTTTTTATTACTATTTTCTTTAAGACTTCCTCGTTGCATATTCTTTTTATTACTATTTTCTTTAAGACTTTCATATTCTTTTTATTACTATTTTTCTTTTTGCATATTCTTTTTATTACTTTTTTCTTTTTTTATTACATATTCTTTTTATTTATTTTCTTTAAGACTTCCTCGTTGCATATTCTTTTTTTATTACTATTTTCTTTTTAAGACTATTTTCCTCTTTGCATATTCTTTTTATTACTATTTTCTATTTTTAAGACTTCCTCGCTGCATATTCATATTCTTTTTATTTATTCTTTTATTTATTTTTTTAAGACTTTCTCATATTCTTTTTTATATTTTAAGACTTTTTGCATATTCTTTTTATTTTTTTCTTTAAGACTTCCTCTCGTTGCATATTCTTTTTTATTACTATTTTCGTATATTCTTTTTTTAAGACTTCCTCGCTGCATATTCTTTTTATTACTATTTTCTTTAAGACTTCCTCCTGCATATTCTTTTTTATTACTATTTTCTTTAAGACTTCCTCCTTGCATATTCTTTTTATTACTATTTTCTTTAAGACTTCCTCGCTGCATATTCTTTTTTATTACTATTTTCTTTAAGACTTCCCTCGCTGCATATTCTTTTATTACTATTTTTCTTTAAGACTTCCTCTTTTGCATATTCTTTTTATTATATTTTCTTTAAGACTTTCGTTGCATATTCTTTTTTTACTATTTTCTTTTAAGACTTCCTCGTTGCATATTCTTTTTATTACTATTTTCTTTTAAGACTTCCTCGTTGCATATTCTTTTTATTACTATTTTCTTTAAGACTTCCTCGCTTTTTTGCATATTATTTTTTTTTATTACTATTTTCTTTAAGACTTCCTCGTTGCATATTCTTTTATTATTCTTTTTTATTACTATTTTCTTTTAAGACTTCCTCGTTGCATATTCTATTTTTTTATTACTATTTTCTTTAAGACTTCCTGTTGCATATTCTTTTTATTACTATTTTCTTTAAGACTTCACTCGCTGCATATTCTTTTTATTACTATTTTCTTTAAGACTTCCTCGCTGCATATTCTATTTTTTTACTTCCTCGTTTATTCTTTTTATTACTATTTTCTTTAAGACTTCCTCGCTGCATATTCTTTTTATTACTATTTTCTTTAAGACTTTCGCTGCATATTCTTTTTATTACTATTTTCTTTAAGACTTCCTCGCTGCATATTCTTTTTTTTATTTTCTTTACTATTCTTTTTTACTATTTTCTTTAAGACTTCCTCGTTGCATATTCTTTTATTACTATTTTCTTTTAAGACTTTCTCGCTGCATATTCTTTTTATTACTATTTTCTTTAAGACTTCCTCGCTGCATATTCTTTTTTTATTACTATTTTCTTTAAGACTTCCTCGCTGCATATTCTTTTTTATTACTATTTTCTTTAAGACTTCCTCGCTGCATATTCTTTTTATTACTATTTTCTTTAAGACTTTTCCTCGCTGCATATTCTTTTTTATTACTATTTTCTTTTAAGCTCGTTGCATATTCTTTTTTTATTACTATTTCTTTTAAGACTTCCTCGTTGCATATTCTTTTTTTTTTACTATTTTCTTTAAGACTTCCTCGTTGCATATTCTTTTTTATTACTATTTTCTTTAAGACTTCCTCGCTGCATATTCATATTTTTTTATTACTATTTTCTTTAAGACTTCTCTTTTTATTGCATATTCTTTTTATTACTATTTTCTTAAGACTTCCTCGTTGCATATTCTTTTTTATTACTATTTTCTTTAAGACTTCTCCTCATATTCACTATTTTCTTTATTGCATATTCTTTTTTTATTACTATTTTCTTTAAGACTTCCTCGCTGCATATTCTTTTATTACTATTTTCTTTAAGACTTCCTCACTGCATATATTCTATTTTTTTATTACTATTTTCTTTTTTTAAGACTATTTTCCTCGTTGCATATTCTTTTTATTACTATTTTCTTTAAGACTTCCTCGTTGCATATTCTTTTTTTATTACTATTTTCTTTTTTATTAGATTTTCTTTCGTTGCATATTCTTTTTATTACTATTTTCTTTAAGACTTCCTCGTTACATATTCTTTTATTACTATTTTCTTTATTGCATATTCTTTTTATTACTATTTTCTTTAAGACTTCCTCACTGCATATTCTTTTTTATTACTATTTTCTTTAAGACTTCCTCGTTGCATATTCACTCCGTCCATGAAATTCTCATTATCCTTCTATAGAACTACATTTCTGTTGATTTCATTTTTCTCTTCATCTGGGTAATGTAGTTTCAGAATATATGTGGTTATGGAGGTTTATCTCCAAAACCCTAAGGAGTTCGATAACAAATAGACGGACTGAGGCTACAACTTTATATATAGAGATTTTCCTCCAGAGAAAAGTCTGTGTGATGGCATGGCATCTTGCACAGAACAACTTAAAGGCAAATATAATATCAGCGTATGTAAAATGATATTTATTATATACTGATTAACAATCAATTAATCTACTTTACAATCACTATAACAATGAACAATTATAATCTGATAGACATTGTTCGACGTTTCCTGGAATTTCTGCTGTCAGAGTAAAAGAATGAAAAATAAATAAAGCTTCAAATCAATGATGTTGAGAGCTTAAGACATGTTCGTATCATTAGAGAATACCTCTTGTGTATTAATTATTTTTCTTGCAAAATGTAACTTCTACTGTTGTATTTTCTTCTTTTCAAATCCAATTCTTTTTATTTCCCTTCGTGGTTTTTTTTTTTTTTTTTTCTCCAAATCGAATTTCTTGCTCTTTTTCGAGTTAGACTTATTTATCCTTATTATCATATTAAAATATTATTTTGTGAATTAGAATAACGATTTTATTTTTGTCCTTTCGTTGCGCATAAGGACAGCATTTACGAGATTCATATATATTAATTAATATTTTTATGTAAAGAAACAACAGCACCGACTTATTCTAATGCCGGTGGAGTAATGGATAGCGGCTCGGATTTGAGGAATCGGAGTGCCGAGTTCGAATGCCAGTCGAATCGATTACATTCACTTACGTGCTAATACCCTCCCCTCCCCTCCAGTTATGGGTAAATAGCAGGACTGACCGGGTTTTATAGCCTGGATGGTAACTGGTCTACCGCAGAGAGAAATGGCAACCTACTGCGGAAAAAACATCTACCTCGTCAGTTATGTATCAAAAGATACATGATCGCCCTAAGCGCATGCCACATAACTGACTGAATGCCAATAACCAGTCCAAAACAAAATAGGCTATTTTTTCAATTCATCTCTTTTCTTGCTTGTGAATTCATTGAAAGGAAAGTTTGCAAACTCGGAGATTTGTTTGTGCCTATGAAATTGATGTTTCGTTGTACTATACGAGTCATACCAATATCAATGAGTCTAAAAATACGATCGACTCAAATTTTTATTAAGCTCATAAGCAGTTGAGACGATTGAAATATGTGAAATGCCAAACATTCGATAATACACGTTTGAATGTCTCGTCGTGGTGTAAAGGTCTAGCACGCTATTATAACCGTGTAATAGTGAGTTCAAGCATCACTGGGTGCCTCGCTCTTGTGGTTTTGTGTCAGACTAAGCTAATCTTAGTAAGCATCTTCACTATTAGAGTTTTGAATATATCAAGTATCCATTACAGCGCCTGGCGCACATTCTTCTGTTATCGAAATAAAAAACTGAATTTTTATGACCGAAATTTGTCACATTCACTTTGCAAATTGAATTTAGCATTCATTGCAATAGCTGCAAAGATGCGTGAAAGATGACTGAAACAAGGTGACATTTTTGTGAATTTTTATTATTACGGCAATGGTCTGTGATCGAATCCAGATAAAACCAGGAACTGGATGCTGGTTTTCGAGGCTAACCGATCTCTCTCAATTGTACAATAATGGTACACTATAAAGTGATAAACTTAGTATGTTTAGTTTCACTTAAAGAAGGCCTTTACAAAGCTAGAATTATAAATTCATATCTTCCTTTATTACGTATCTTTGAGCATCAACAAATGAAAAAATAACTTAATACTCTTGATTTTATATATATATATATATATATATATATATATATATATATATATATATATATATATATATTTTCTCCCGTCGTCATAGACTATACGTAGGTTCAGCAGTTCAGTTCTTAGAACCGAACAATCAAACTACCAGATCGGTGTATACGGAATAAATTCCAATAACCAAAAATACTATTCTTAAAAGAGTGCTTCATACAGAGTATAGCAAATATAATTTATTCAAAATTATAACATAAATATGTTATAAAATCACTACAAAAAAACAGCCATTTTGTTTCAACACTTCTGGTGTCTTATCAAATGATGGTATTGAATTTGCTTGATTTGAAGGTTCAAATCGACCAAACACCTCTCAATAGTGGAAACTCTGTTACATAAGCTGCAATGACCAATCAAAATACAAGGATATGAGAATTCAAAATGACCAATCAAAATACAAGTATGTGAGAATTCAAAAAAACTTGACAACAAACCTTGATTATAATTATTAATGCCTTAATGTTAGGGTTAGACTAAAATAGAAATCATTCTAACTAATTAATGTTAAATTTTACTAGAAAATTGAAAATTAAAAATTACCAATTTTAAATTTAATATGTATTAAATTTAAAATATAAAATTATTTAAAGAAGAAACTTAGGAAAAAATAGATATATTTTATTATTTATTTTGTTTTAATTGAAAGGCCAAAATCTCAGTTAGAATAAACGTTAATCTAATAGGTATGTAAAGCTTCGTTACAACTTAGATACATTCGAAGTGGTGAATTAGACAGGGGAGGATGAAATCTAGCAAAAGAAATTACATACATAACCAGTTTATAATACGCAAACACATGTTATTTTTGTAGTGATTTTATAACATATTATTTTATAATTTTCAAATAAATTATGTGTGTGCGTGTGTGATGTATTTGAACTAAAGTGAAAAAGAATCAAAAGAAACTTGTCTTTGAAACAAGAGAAAACAAACGACCTTCGACGAGATTAAAATCAAGAATCTTACTTAGTTTCTTTATATAGAAAAGTTGTTTTTAAAGTGTCAAATTCATTCTTACTTTCGTATGGCATTACGGTTTCCTTTTACAGACAGAAAACACTGAAGAGTTTTTCGTATCGATCTATTAAAGCTGTCTAATGAAAATAGGACTATTAGGAAAAATAGAATAACAAAAAAATTCGAAAGTGAAGAAGAGAAAAGAGCGGCATAAAATAGTCGCCATTAATTGCTGGAAATGCGTGTTCGCACGATACACATGTTGCTCAAACATGCGACTAATGTTTGTAGTACCATTTATGACGGAGAATTTATACAAATGTTCGTGAATATATACTCATCTTTACTATCTTCTCTCTATATACACAATGCTTGATTGTCACATTCATTTTTCAATCAACGAGTTATATATTACAGACTCACGTTGTAATTTGAGGACATTTGATGAATTTAATAAGAGACGCATAAGGCATGAAAGAAGTGTTTTATTTGAGTAAAGAAATGGCATAAATAATCTTGGGTCTTTTCTTGGGGGCATTTGCTTAATAAATCTGTCTTTAGCATCAATGACTATTTGGACATTGTGTTTGTTATGGCGAACTTCAAAGATTTTATAATGTTATGAGGACGTCGATTGACTTCCTACTCGACTACGTCCCATACGTAGTAGTCCAGTGGATTAAGGTCTAGAGAGCTAGGAGGCCATATGTTTGGGAGTGTTGTGATAGTGGAGATTATAACTCATCCATTCTTGGAACGTCTTGTCGTTATGAAACGGTGCAGTGCCTTGTTGGTAAGTGTTCTTTTTCTCACACTCTCTATCCAAAGCCTCGCGACCTTCTCCAATACCGCCTTATAGTTAGCAGGTATGGTAACTCCCTTGCTGCTCATGATACCTAGAACCATCACAGTTGCCGGAAACTTTGTGTGTCTGACCGTTGGAACATCTTTAGCATAATCATCTTTTATACTTTCGGTTGACCTTTGGGTCCTTATCATAGTTCTTCTAATCAGTTGATGTTTCAGCTTGATCAACAAGCGCTTTACGCTGACCAGAAGGTTATCTTTTGTCTTTACAGACAGGAATTGGCCTTTCCGCATCATATATGGTCCTCATGTACAATTCTTCCGATCGAGTGTGTTGAAACTTGATTGAAATTCCTTAGCAATGGCGTTAATTAACTTTCTGGGGTTCTTATCAATAATTTTCTGCACCTTTTGTACAAATTTATGTGTTCTGACGATATTAAAACCACTAGCAGGCGTTTTATATTTATCTACTGCTGTAGAATTCCCGTTAGTGGCTTCCAGCTCTTTGCGTACTTTGACAACAAATGACCGTGGAACTTTCAGGCAGCGAGCAATCTCTAAATCACTATGCTATGCTTTTAAGGTGACGATTACAGCATGCCTTTTCATTTGCTGAGTTAATTTGATCTGAATATAAATGATAAT